ATGCTATTTGGAACCCTGACAGTTGAATTTCTCCAACTTAATGGACTCCAACTTAATGGACTCCTATCTATAGCTCAGAATCAACCTCTGTGCCATTAGATGCACTCTAGTCCACCTTATGAAATAATGTCTTTTTAACCTTCCAGGTGCCTCAACACTTATTTTTCCAAGGCTGACTTTAACGCTAGCTAGCCAAATGCTAGGACTGCTGCCCGCTTCAGGCGAGAGAATGCAGAGCGAGACATCAGCCTGTTCAATTTCAATTTTCCCTTTTAACTCCAGGCCATTTATTAAAACGCACATACTGGGAGTCAAAAGCGTCACAAAGGGCCCCCTTTTGACACAGCGTTAGCTTTATCAAGGCTGCAGTACAGGGCAGTGATAAATGGAACTGCCCTTCGGTCTGTCACAGGTAGTAGATTAATACGAAGAGCTAAATAGACTTTACATGGCTAGGAGGCCAGGCGTTCTGTAGTCATTGGAAGACAAGATGAAGCAAGCTGTGCCCTGGAGCATGGGGGGTCTTCTTTGACACACAATCTCTCCCCCTGTCCCTCTGAAAGACAACTTCTGGAGCCCATCCTCCTGCCTATATTTAATGCAGTCCAGAGATTGTGGGGGAAAATTTTTTTACTCAACCAGAAGAATAACATATAATCCAGCTCATCCTATAAATTAATCAAACATGGCTAAAGAAAGGAGGCTTCACAAGGGGAGGGGAGAGGCAGTACGTTTTCAGATGGATCTAGTGGGGATTCTCAGAGACTTTGGGATCCAGTGAGGCAGGTCCATGCTTGAAACTTAAGAACTTTTATTCTCAAAGCAATAGGATTGTATCTGGGGGTCCAACCTTGGGAACTTTAGATTCGGTGAACTTCAACTTCCAGAATTCCCCAGCCATCCATGCTCAAGAATCTGGGAATCACAATTAAAGTATCACATAGCAAGGCAGGGTTTAGTATTTCTTATATACTTTATATCCCATTACTTGTGCCAGCTTCTGCCAACCTAGCAGTTCGAAAGCACGTAAAAAATGAAAGTAGAAAAATAGAAACCTCCTTTGGTGGGAAGGTAAACAGTGTTCCATGCACCTTTGGTGTTTAATCATGCCGGTCACATGACCACGGAGATATCTTCGGACAGTGCTGGCTCTTCGGCTTTGAAACGGAGATGAGCACCGCCCCCTAGAATCAGGAACAACTAGCACATTTCTTTATATATGTTATTATTTCTTTGAACATTTTCCCTTGGATTTTCACTTTTCCAATTTCACCCCTTTCCCACTAGATCACTAGGTTTTGGGATTTAGAGATAAAATAGACTGTAGACATTTTTTGCAAAATGCTCCTTTCGGACAACCTTCATCTATGCAGAAAAGCAGAAATGTAATGAAGGAGTTGAACAGCTATCTGTTGTGATAGAATAACAGAGTTGGAAGGGACCTTGGAGGTCTTCTAGTCCAACCCCCTGCTTAGGCAGGAAACCCTACATGACTTCAGACAAATGATTAGTCAACATCTTCTTAAAAACTCCCAGTGTTGGAGCATTTCCTACTACTCACAAATTTTATCCCTCACTGATTTCTGAAGAGAAAGCTTCCCACGCAAGACAAAAAGCAGGGATTGGTTTTGCAACGAGGGCATCAGATAAGCTAAAAAGAAAAGCTTGTGTGTATTACAGTCATGGTGGATGGTGATTTTATTTTTTTGACCAAGAAACTGAAACATAATCAGTTCAGACTCAGGGACAAGAAAAGGTTGTTGATTTCTGGAACTGAATATTATCATAGGGGAATCTAAACACAGATGTCACTCTCCAAGGACTCATATCACCCTTTGGTAAAGCTTATTGGAAGTAAGGAAATGATTTCTAGCAGAGACAAAACTGTGACTGTGGATACTTTAAAAAGAATTCCTGTCTTTTCTCATCCCCTGAGCATCCTGGAACAACCTGCCCCCAGAAGTTGTGAAGGCTCCACAACACTGGAATTTTTTAATAAATGGTCTAGGGAGGTGATGGCAAGCCCATGTTCACTCATATGGTTGGTGCCTTTGAAAAGATATACTTCCTTTATCACTTTCAGAAATTTCTTGTTAACTATTTTTCAGCTATTAGGAATCTTCAATTGGCAGGTTTTACAGCACCAGGTATACCCTTCAATACTTAGCAAAAGAAGTTTTAAATAAAGTTTACGGTCTTAGATTTTGGGGGGGGGGTTACATGCTTTCAAACTGCTAGGTTGGCAGAAGTTGGGAGAAATAACGGGAGCTTACTCTATTACATGGTGCTAGGGATTTGAACCGCTGAACTGCTGACCTTTCTGATCGACAGGCTCAGCATCTTAGCCACTGAGCCACCCTTATTTATCTTTACAATAGTCTTATTCCCCCCCCTTCATCTCCATTTTTCTTCTTTCCTGAACTTTCTTTTTTTTTCTTTTTAGTTTGCATTAGCTTTTCTTTTAAATTATAATGCTTTATAAAATTACTATATATATACATACACACACACACACACATATATAAAATATATATATAAAAGCTGCACAGAGAGGAACCAGTGAGGTTACTCAGAGCCAGCTTCCACTTGCCTTGTCCATTCTGCAGCCATTTTTCACACTCTGAAAATACAGATCGCTTTTAGCCTGGGTCCATCTGGTTTCTCAAATAGCCTGTCTCTTTGATAAATAACATAAATTAAATTAGACAAGACAAATAAATAGGGTTCCCCCCCCCACTTTTTTGCTTCCCCACTCCTCCCCTTCCCCAGCATCTACCCTCAACCTCTCCCTGGATGGAAAACAAAAGCATATAGAATTCAGCAAACGCCTGGAGCCCCCGAAAGGCCATCTCACCAGTGCAAACTCTGAGGGGCAGTGAGGAGGGTGGAATGATTGCAAACGTGTCTGAAATGTTAACCATTTAACAGACCACAGGACGCCCGCATAACTTTTAAGCTCTTTTTAATCCCTTTTAGTGCAAACCAGCGCAGCTAACAAGTCCAACAGGTAAGCAGCAATCCAGCTTTCTTCTTGTTGTTGTTAGTTGCGAAGTCGTGTCCAATCCATCGCAAGTTGTGAACCCATGGACAACGTTCCTCCAGGCCTTCCTGTCCTCTACTGTCCTCTGGAGTCCATTTAAGCTCACGCTGACTGCTTCAGTGACTCCATCCAGCCACCTCATTCTGTGTCATCCCCTTCTTCTTTTGCCCTCCATTGTTCCCAGCATGAGGCTCTTATCCAGTGAGTCCTTCCTTCTCGTTTGGTGGCC